TACATAATCTTAGGCCTGAAGCACTAAACCCCTATATCCCAAACACGCTACATCCCTGAATCCCTACTTGCAATCCCTCGGCTCCCAACCCCTGCTCTTTAAAACTGAAAATCCCCAACCTTAAGCCTTAAACCCTGAACCTACACCCTCAAACCATCTCCCTGAAACCATCTACGCCGTAAAGCCTAAACCCTAGATGAACCCTGATTAGGCATCAGGCCTTCGAGGCTTTCTTTGCGGCGGTGGTCATCAGCAATGCTGTGCCTTGACTTGGCGGTTTTCAAGAATCAGGTTTTAAGGTTTGGGATTCAGGGTTCAAGACGTAGGAGGGTTTAGGATAGTTCCAGCCAAATATGGAGAATCAAATGGACAAGAAAATGGAAGGCGCATTGGATACTGGGGTTATACAGCGGTGTATAGGCATTAAGGTTTCTAACAATTAAGGTCCTTCTTTCGGGCTCTCTTTAATGAAAACTACGCACTTTGGGCTTTATATTGAGGCCCCTCCATGTATGGAAACTCCACATGTTTGGGGTAAAGATGGAACTTTAAAAAGCCAGGTACCCAAAGATCTGTGCTTCAGGTATTAAAATAGATTATACGGTATTTGGGATCAAAACCCTGCTTCGAGGAGGTCAAATGGAAAAACACATGGAAAACTGAGGTCCTAGGGATAGATGGGGTGTAGGGGTCAGGGGGGTGTAGTTTAGGGTTCAGGGCGTGGGATTTTTGAGTTTCAGGGCGAACGATTCAGGGCTAGTGGTTTGGGGTTTGTACCCTAAACCCTAAACCCGGTTTAGGGGTTTGTGGTGGTTTGGGGTGTGAGGCCTTGACCAGGTCGTTCACATGGTAGCTTGCCAAGATTATGGTGCCTTTTTGGGTCCACATTGGGGATACCCAAAAAGAGACCATAAGTTAGATCGCTTTCCATATAGGGGTAACATGGGTTTGAGGGTTTTAGGAGTGAACGTGGGTTTTAGGTCTTAGGTTTGTTGTGCTATAATCGGTTTCCGCATTAGTGTTGGGCTTCATCTGGGCAAGTGGATCCCTAAACCTTAAATTCTGGCCAAACCATGGGCCAGGTCAAAAAGAGATCAGGTTTTGACATTTACCATCTCCAAAGGGGTCATTGTGGGTTAACTAAGAGCTCGACAATAGATCGATGATGGGCTTCTTGGGTGGCAGCATAGGGCAACATCAGGTTTTGTAGGGGAAACTGTTGGTTTCAGGTCTTAGTCTAGGATGTCATGTCCGGCGCAAAGTATGTACCGGGACCTTCCATCTACCCTCTATATACCCTAAATGGGGACCATATACCACTATTTGAAGGGTACAAGGAGAGGCCTGGTAATTGGTTTTGCAGTTGGGGTTTAATTTGTGATTCGTGTCAAGAAAGTGTACTGGTGGTATCTCCCTGAAGCCGTTAAGGCTGAAGCTAAACCCCAATCCTTGATTTGGGCACGCTGCGCCCTGAACCTTGTGGTTAGAATTTCCGTCCCTCCCTTCGTGACACCGGAGCCTAAATAATTGCCAATATTGTAGTCCTAGATTCCTTGTATGATCCTGGTACAGGGTACCTCTCGCAGGCAACAAAAGATTATTGGTAATCGGATAGGCTTTGCGACTTTCCATAACCCTTAGACATACCTCTGCTCAATCACAGTTTCGATTGTGCTTTCCATCTTCTTTTCCATTTTATTCTCCACTATTCTTTACGCCTCTATGAGATTGTTTCCCCTATCCCCAAACAATGAGGTTGAAATGCTTGTTTGCTCTTGTGTTCCCTAAATGGCTTAGGGCTAGGGTTTATGGCTTTCAGTTTTAGGAGCCCTAAACCGTGAACCCTAAACCCTAAACCCCAAAACCTAAACCCCAAACCCTAAACCCTAGCAGATCGCCTCTAAGGTGTACATCGGACTTGACGTTCAGCAGCAAGTTGAAGGTCAGTGGGACTCGAGCAGCAGCGAGGATACTCGCTCTACGGAAATGCAAGTCATCGGGTGCTTCGGCGTGATTTATCGGGAGAATGGAACATAAGATGAAAACTACTAATCCCTTCTCCCTAATAATAGACGACGTCCTCACCCCCCCCCTCCCCGTAATAATAAATAATCCGGTGGGTCAGAGATTATCTATTATTAGGGGTGCATATTTATTGAAAGGATTTAGTAGGGCCGCCTTTAACACCCCTTTAAAATCAATTAAAATTGATTTAAAATCTCGTTAGAGTCAATTGAGATTTAATCAAAATTCCTTTTAAAATCAATTAGAGTCGAATTAAAATCACCTTAGAATCAATTGAAATTTAATTAGAATTCCTTTTAAAATCAATTAAAATCGAATTAAAATCACGTTAGAATCAATTGAAATTTAATTAAAACTACTTTCAAAAACAATTAAAATCGAATCAAAATCCCGTTAGAATCAATTGAAATTTAAGTAGATTTCCTTTTAAAATCAATAAAAAACGAATCAAAATCCCGTTAGAATCAATTGAAATTTAATTGAATTTCCTTTTAACATCAAGTAGAATCGAATTAAAATCACGTCAGAATCAATTGAAATTTAATGAAAATTCCTTTTAAAATCAATTAGAATCGAATTAAAATCCCGTTAGAATCAATTGAAATTTAAATAATTCCTTTAAAATCAATTAAGATCGAATTAAAATCCCGTTAGAATCAATTGAAATTTAGTTAATATTCCTTTCAAAATCAATTAAAATCGAATCAAAATCCCGTTGGAATCAATTGAAATTTAAGTAGATTTCCTTTCAAAATCAATTAAAATCGAATCAAAATCCCGTTAGAATCAATTGAAATTTAAGTAAATTTCCTTTTAAAATCAATTAGCATCGAATTAAAATCCCGTTAGATTCAATTGAAATTTAAGTAAAACTCCTTTCAA